CCACACAAGTCACTTGATTTGTGTGTGGTCTGTGATACTGCGCGGGTGCCCAGACCGATCTTAAATATGAGTATTTTATACAATATGAAGCAGAGGTGTAATCAAGTTGAGATGAATATAGTGAAGTTAATCTATCAAAAATATGGCAAAGTTACCACTAAAATTTATGGAATTTCAAATTAATAACTTAACATATAATCAGTTCTAAAGAAAGTCTACCTTTTTTCTGAACTTTTAAACGATTTCAGAAGAAGCTTATAGTGTTTTCCAGACAATGTCTTTTGATTTTTTTATTGTAAAGTTTTAAAATGTAGTTAAATATTAATTAAAACTATAAAACAAGTATTAGCTTCACTGATTTAGACATTTTCACTGTGATACATATAACGAACCAACCTTAATGATTGACTTAATTTTACTAACCTTAAATGACAAAATCCAAGTCATACTTAAATTGTGTAAATACATCTATAAAGATGGATGTTCACGTTATCAAAATTGAATATCAAAGTTCCGGTTGACTATAATTGAAAGCGTACACTACCGAATTGTGGCTCACTGATCGTAAAATATAATGTTCTTTGAAAGATCTAAAGATTTCATATTTATTCACTTTATATATTTTTAACGAGTACCACAATTAAGAGAGAAAGTAGTTTCCTCATACCTACTAGTATTTTACAATTCTGATAATCTGATTTTTTTCTAATGGATGCTAAATTCAAGACTACCTAATACAAAAAAACCAAGACATTTTTTCCATCACTTGGTGTTGTTTTACTTGTATCTTCTCACTGTTATTTAGGACTGCAATTGATCAGTATCATGTTGGCATATGTGCATCCTGTGAGGATTGGCTCGATATAGCCTTAAGTCACAAGCTATTTAAGCAAAGATGGATAGTGGCTAACAGTGGAATCCATGTATGCAGGTACATTCAGCTAACGAGTCCCAAATAGGACGAAATGCATGTCCTGGATCCCACTGCTAGCCACAATCTATCTTTTCCATCAGTTTTATGAAATTCCTTTGTCCAAATAACTCCTTGATTAATATATCCTTTATAAAATTATATACACATATCATTAAATTCTAATTTCATTAAAAACTGCCATATTTTGTTTAATAGTAGTAAAAAAATATCATACCTTTGGTTGTGAACATATACGAACTGTTTCTCTTCAGTTTTCCAGTTAAATACATAATAAATCAAACTAAAGAAAAGTTTTTCTTCAAAACAGTTTTTACCTTTATCCCTTTATTTTCCAACCTATAAATTACATTCCCAAATTTATGATAGAAGCTTTAGGCATCTAAAAGATCAAACTATTCTGTATATCCTTAAAAGTAATTTGTATTTCAACTAAATTTACCCTAGAAATACTAATTTCTTACCCAAAGTGTTGTGATACATATTGTATACGTTTATTATCATTTGTTTTATTTATCTTCCAATCTATTTAATTTAACAAGTGACTTCATATATATACATACAGATGAATCCTTTAGGAAGACTGTTCGAAATGTACTTTTCTCATAAATAACTCATATTACTCTGATAAACAGCATCACCATCATCTCATTAAATTATCTAATAAAAATAATGTTTTTCGTATCTTTTTCTCAACAACCTGGTAAATAAAACAATTTTTGTTTGTTTTTTTGGTCTCTTTCATTTGATTATTGATGTAACTGTTGATGAACTATTGAAGAAATCAGTTCAAATTAATAGTTCATTATTTGTTTTCATTTATCTCTTCTCCATATTATTCATCTTCTATTATCTTATCATTTCTATAATTGTATAACTGATTGTAACGTATACATTCATTGATTACTGATTATCAATAAATAAATAAATACGTTGATATTGATAGACAAACTGAATTTTCTTCCTTTTTTTTCCTTACCTCAAAATATTTGGAATTGTGTTTTATTGGTAATTATGTTTGTGTGTGTGTGTACGTCACGCCGCATTTCATCTGTATTGTATATCTATTACATAATTGAATATTTATGCAAGTATTCTGCTGATATATATATATATATATATATATATATATATATATATACTTGTGAACTACCTCTTGACTTAAGTTTGTTTACGTGGATACTAGAATATTAGATTATGATACATTTGACCGTTATTTGTTGATGATTTATAAGTTGAAAAGGATATCGTATAAACTGATGAAAGGAAGTCAATTATCTTTTATTTGATTTATTCTGAACATTCTATTGAGTAGTATATTTCAGTGAATCAAGATTAAATTAGCATAAAATTATTTTAGGCTTGGATTGTGAATATTTTGATATATGATAATAGTAAAATTGGCTTTATTCAATATTATATGCTTAATACAATACAGTATTCTTAGATTATAGAGTAGATTTATAGATTCTCTATTAATAAGCTTAACCCTATCCTGATAAAATGTGATCAGTAAACAGCATAGAATCTAATCTTTCACAGAATCAAATTTATTTAATAGTCCGTCAAACTGCTAAATCATCTCAGTTCTCCACCGATTAGTAATGCTCACTGTTAACTTTTCACAAATCAAAACTTAGATTATAATTAAGGATAAAGTCAAACTGAGGATAATCAACCGCAGAACCATTAAAACGCAGGCCATGCTACAAAACCTATTCTTCCAACCATTCAAAACTGAATATAACTCAGTGCATAACTACCAGTGTTTAAACTGATGTGCGATTCTTAGTGATCAGTATTTAGTATGCTCAAAGTTCATCCAACTGCTTTGAAAGTTATCTACAAGTCTATTTTACTAACATTTGTTACCTGGTAGGATGCGTCAAATGGGGTATCATGAATTATTAAACCATAGTTTGATAAATAACCTACTGAAAAAAATAATTAATTATTTTAAACCGGTAGCTATTAAAATTTATTAATGTCTCTGAACGTTGAATATTGTGCTATCGCCATTTTGAACTATTTAGTAGTCAAGTGGGAGTAATTAAAGTTTATTATAGATATTTAAGTAAAGAAAGATGATGGTTAACACTAGTGTCCAGGAAGTACCTTTTGTCTCATTTAAGATTAGTCAGTTGGACGTTGATGCGTTGATGCTTACATTAAGACTCGAAGCCAATACCTTTCGCATCAAAAATTCACTTGATTGTCTATTGAGCTAATAAATCTAAATGGCCACTAGCTTGTACAAAGGAAGATTAAAATCATTACAAAACTAAATGTAGTTTGAGGTTGAACATCAATTCAATCGTTAATAAACAATGACTTAATGTGACACCTCCAGAATGACTATTCCATCATTAAAGTTCTTTTCATCCTCTAGAAACTTTATCATTCTTTTCAATAATCTACATAATTTTAAGTATCATATACTACGCAATCTGTCTAGTTAAGTGTGTATTTGTCTTTTACAAACTCCTTAGTGAATAACAATACATTATAAACTCCAAATTTATTGGTTATAGTCTATTGTTACTTATATTCCACTGTATTCTACTTTAGGTGTTTTCCTCTATTATGAACTATTCTTATACGCATACATTATTACTATACTATCGATTGCTTTTCACCGATGATTGACTTCAATTGAATTTGACACAGTCAGACAAATCTAACAATAAAAAGTATAAGTGACTATATTTTTTAAAGTCATAAGCAGATATCATCATAAATCTGACAGAAATAATTACATTATATTTTTTTCTCAAATTTACAATTATTTCATATCACTGTCAATCGAATGAGTATTCTTCAAACAAATAACACTACAGTCTGAGAGCTGAACTCAATATCCAATGTATTAGTGTAGTGAATGAGAACACAAGTGGGGACAATCTAATGTATTTTAATACAGTATTACAGAATATCTGAGAGACCGGTTATAAAGAAAAACAAAATTACTCACATAGTGAAGGTCACCGCATATAAACCCTTACTGAACTAATATATAGAGATGAATTTCAAGCTTAAACATTTTACCTTTTGTTATGTCCGAAAAATAAGTGAATAGTAACCGCTAGGATCTATTTGTGGACTATTATTTTATATAATTTAATTTATAACCAATAAGTAAATATATTATATGCATAGTCATATTCCTTTTATTATGAACTTTCATTTGACTTATCGGCTATTAGTACACGATTTACTATTCTTAAGATATTTACAACTTATTACCAACAGTCTCTCACAGTCACAGCCACTTTTGGGCTTGTTCTTGTATAATTGTTATTTTCTATGTTATGGTATGATGCGGTTTGCTTCGTTTGTATATAAACCAAGTATTTTTTTAAATATATGATTCGTATAGTGGAGTTTGATATTGATGTTCTGGACTAAGCGGGCTGGTTTAGGCGAAAAGCTACTATCTCGGTGGACAAATAAAAACTCAAAGTTGACTCTGAACTGTTCATACTGGTTTATGCATCATTGGTCTGGTCAGTAAGTTGTTGTTCTAAGTGACGATCGAATCACGTGATATATTAACCAGAGCATAAGAACATAACACCTTTGATAATCAAACTTCCACACATTTATGGTTTACTTCTGTATAACCAATTGTCAAATGAATAAGAGTAAATTAGCAATTAAATAAGGTTATACATAGATGATAACAAAAACAACTTTATTTACATCTATTGAAACAAATATAACAACAACGTAAAAAGAATTTTTAATTTTGTTATTTTACAAAACATAATTAAACTAATTAATCCCTGTGATCAACAATAACTGCTGGTACATTCTCTTTAAATAATACAAAATTACTAGTCAAAATAAAATAATTCAATCAAATTAAAGTATCAGGGTCACTCAACAACAACAATAACTAATAAGAATATCATACATATTTGTATAAAAATTCAAATTACTTCAAGTTTAAAGTAGTTAGAAGATAATTATATGCAACTTGACTAAACTGAAACGTATATACATTTGTCACGCTTTCTCGAAATGATCATTTAAGCTTTTTCCCAGGGATGTATGTCTGCTTATTACATGATTATTTTGATGATGATGATGATGATGATGATGATGATGATGATGATGATGATGATGATGATGATGATGATGATGATGATGATGATGATGATGATGATGATGATGATGATGATGATGATGATGATGATGATGATGATGATGATGATGATGATGATGATGATGATGATGATGATGATGATGATGATGATGATGATGATGATGATGATGATGATGATGATGATGATGATGATGATGATGATGATGATGACATAAAACAGAAACTAAGGTTTTCTGAGGAAACCACATTTAAAATTAGCTCAGTATTATGCTATAAATTACAGTCTCTCTATAATGTTGTTTAAAGGACGACTATCTTTGGTTATGATAAATGCCAATGTGAAATAATTTGAAAACGTTTAACTGCTGGATGCTGAATCAATATTATTGTGCATGTACTAAGACCTGAATGACATGAATTCAGAATATTTTTTAAGAAATCTTAAACCAACATTAAAAAAACGTGATATTTATTTTTCATGAAAACTAACTTCAACCGATTAAAAATTAACACACTGCAGTGATCATTTCCGCCGTTAACGATGACGTTTAAAACCATACTATAATTCAACAGCTGTCTTAACCATTGTAAGCCAGAAAATCCATTTGGTAGCACAAAACTGTATGACAATATATTTTCAAATTATAAATCAAGAAATCAAAACCAAAGAATTCCACTACGTAACAATATTAAATCTGAAAGAATATGTGCTCTTTACCAACAAACGAAAATTTCATTCGAATTAAAGATAAGTTGATCAAGTGTAACCATTAAAAGTAATCTATTACATCTCCAAGAGACTTTATTAAGTGTTAATATATGTTAACAAAACCTAACAGATATTATGACCAGTTTCAGTAATTATTCCTCATTACAATGAATAAGTGTACACACATTTACATAAACAAATGGATTATTCCAAAAAATGCTATAATCTAAACTCTGTATAACCCTTAACAATAATTATATGCACAAATATGTGCAGTTATGTGTATAAGCTAACAAATATGTAAGTGTTTAGACATAGAAAAGTTATCCCATTGCCTGGGAAAATGTTAAAATAGGTAACTCATAGAGAAAATGATTTAAATGGACATATATAAAACACCTAAATATAATAAAAAAATAATTAAGTCAATTCCTGTTTAAACAGTTAAACGTATATATATTGAGATGGTGAAGAAGATTTGTGGCTCAGGTGGATGATTTTGATGGGGTTTTGTTCTCTAAGCTGGATGGTTTGGTCGTGGAGCTTTCATCGTTCTTCTGAACGACATCATCAGCACAAACTTCAGATAGAAGTGAAGTGTTCGAATTTCCCCATATGCGTTCCACAGCTTGTTCTGTACACCTCGACGGTGACTGGTTCTTATTCCGTAAGAAACTTCACGACCAAACCATCCAGCTCAGAGAACAAAACTCCATCAATATATATATATATATATATATATATATATACATATATTCATATAAATCCTTGTGTATTAATCAGGAAAAAACGATTAATTACTTTGAATGATAAAATTAATGTATATAATTGCATAACAATGGATTATTATTATTATTATTAATTTATAACAAGTTTCAGCTATAACTTGCAATTTATGAAGCATGTACCAGACAATAGGTATACATAATCATATACATTCTTATTGAGGAACTGGTATTTTAGAAAAAAAACAATTTTAATTTGGCAATTATATCATATTTACAAATACTTCTGATTAAGCATATCCTCATCTTACAAAATCTTAAAAAGGATTATGAATGTTAAGGTCTTTAAATGAAAGTAAACAGAAGTATTATTGTTTATTTGATAGCTTAATCATTTGGATTGTTTTCATAACGAACTAATATTAACTGGCAAGGCGTTAAAGACGTAGAACTTAATGACAATCAGTTTTGTCTCTGTTCAGTGCTTACCAGTAGTATTTACTGATGATTTCTCTAGAAATTCAACTAAGAACCATCATGTATAATGTTAAGTGTATTACATTAAGATTAATCATTTGAAATAGTCTGAAAATACAAGTTCAGCGATGGAATATAATTATCGATTGATTCTTCATCACGATTCCACATCAACAAATACGTTTCAAAATTAAGCATGAAATCAATAACTATATCAAACAAATAGTGATGGACTAATTTAACAACATATTCCATTGTTTCCTCGAAAAAAAATCAATTACCAACTCAAATTACGTAAAATTAAAAATAAAACAAGATAACACAATCGTCTCCTTATTACTAATCGTTGCGTAAGAATAGAAATAGAGATTGAGTCAGTTTGAAAATAACCAGCAAAATATAAATGTTTAGTGTTATTTGTAAAATAATAATTAATTAATAACAAAGGTACAAAGAAAACTAGACAGTCAAACTATTAGGATTAACTACGTAGGAATAAGATCAGAAATTAAAATCGAGGTTAAGAGTTAGCCGGCAAGACCGGAGGTCCTTAGTTCGAATCCCACACGAGGGATCATGGATGCGCACTGTTGAGGAGCCCTGTACTAGAACGAAACGGCCGTCCAGTGCTTCCAGGTTTTCCATAGTGGTTTAGCTTCAAATGAATCATGATCTCAACTATTAAACTTACTACAATATCCACAAACCCCTATTCTGATAAAATTGAGAAACTGAAAAGTTCTAGAAATTATAGTGAAAATTCCCATTTTGCCATTTGGTAAATAAAGAAGGAACGAATTGAGCGAAGAAATTTCTTCGCTCAATTCGTTCCTTCTTAGTTCTAGAAATGTTGACGAGAATAAATGTTAAGTCAGGTTAAATTAATAATATGTTCAAACAATTTTTGTACACAAAGGTGTAATTATGTATATTTCTGTGACTTCTGCTGCACATAAAGAATGATTTCTGAAAGATGAGAAGGAGTTCGACGGGATCATATTTGCAGCTTAAAAAGTTAAACTTATATCACAAATTTATGACTGAGGATGAACTGAGTATTTTCAGCTATAATTTCAAAAATACCTTCACAAATCGATATATGTCACTTTTGAATGTTAGAAACACACTTCATCATTTGCTTAAACTAGTGTTCAAAATTAAATTTGACAGTACAAGTCAAATTAGTTAAGTCCCAATAAAAAGGAGCATCCATCGTTAACGTTCCAATTTAAAAAATACATTGATTTTAGTAGACAATATGCAATACATATAGAAGTTGTAACTAGACATAAATGACAATATGGGATAAAATTAATGGAATCAAATTTAGTCAAATCATTCTACTGACTGAACTATAAAACAAAGTGAACATTTTGTTACATTACTTTCTGATACATCGTTTTTGTATAACATTTCATTATTATTATCAACAGCCAAAGTAGTTGACACGAATTTAATTAAAATGTACATTTTTTTTCAAATGACAACAATATTAGCTCAACACCGCTTTCATATGGATAAATGACTTTGAAAACATTGGTTACCAGGGCGAAGTTGAAACAAATCCATTCAATATTTTCTAGCACAATTAAAATACATCATATTAAAATTACATATGGTAGTTCTTACTACAGGCCGACAACAACAGTTAGGAAGATATCATGGAACGACATTAACTGACTGGGAGAAAGAAGCCACAATAATGAGAGATTTGCGAATCTATCTGCATTTAACAAATTGGTTATAAGTAGCACAATACTCCTACACAGACGCACAAACAAAGCTACATCAGTCTCACCACGAAGAACAAGATAGATCATAATTGTATCACTAAAAAGTTTAGAAAAACAATAAAAGACATAAGAACCAGGAGAGGAGCTGACCTAGCTTCAGATAACCACCTGGTTGTGACCAAGATTAAGCTGAAGTTAAAGAAACACTGGTCAACCGGACAAACATCAGTAAAAAGGTTCAGTACAGCTTTCCTACGAGATATTGACAAACTCAAACAATTAAAGTTGGTTTTCAACAACAGGTCACAAGCCTTAAAAGATTTACTCAAAGAGGAAGAAACTGCTACGGAGAAAAACTGGAAATGGATTGAAGAAACACTAATTTCAACGTGTCAGGAGGTTCTGGATAGAAAGAAGTATCATTACAAAGAGTGGATCTCCGCAAAAACCCTGGAAAAGATTCAAAGAAGGAAGAACAAAAACACAGCCATCAACAACAGTAGAACAAGAACAGAGAATATCAAAGCACAAGCTGAATACACAGAAGCAAACAAATGAGTGAAGAGCAATAGAGCCTGTGAGCAGAAATACGTGGAAGAGCTGAAAACGACAACGGAAAAACTGCATGAGGAGGAAATATCAAGCAACTATGCGACACGGCGAAGAAACTGGCAGGGAAATATAGTAAACGAGAGAGATCAGTCAGCGACAAAGAAGGCAATACAATCATCAAGATTCAAGAACAGAGGAACAGATGGGTGGAACAATTTGAGGAACTCTTGAATAGACCAGCCCAACTAAACACATCGGATATTGAAGCAGCACCTACAGACCTTCCCATTGATGTCACCACACCAACGATCACAGAAACCAGTGTGGTCATCAAGCGAATCAAGTGCGAGAAAGCAGTAGGACCTAACAACATAACAACTGAAGCACTGAAGTCAGACACAGAAGTAACTGCAAGCATGCTGTCACTACCAGGAAAGTGTTGCTGAACCGGATGAAGGGTTCAGAAGATCCCGAAACTCGAGATTAGCAGACTAGATTCCGTAAGGATCGGTCGTTTACAGACCAAATCGCGACACTACGGATCATCGTTGAACATTCAGTTGAATGGAACTCATCGCTATACATCACATCATTGACTATGTGGCGTTTGACAGTGTGGATATGAGAACCCTATGGAACCCTCTTCGACATTATGGTGTACCTGATAAGATTGTCAACATCACACGGAATTTTGATTGAGATCATGAACCGATTGATGTTGGACCACCACAATTTAAAACCTGGAAGCACTGGACGGCCGTTTCGTCCTATTGTGGGACTCCTCATACGGAATTCACACGACAGACTACATTGCAAAGTTTTGCATGGAGAACAGCTGACAGATGAATTGCACGTGAGGACCGGAATCAGACAAGGCTGCTTACTCTCCTTCTTTATCTTTCTTCTGATGTTGGCTGGATTGTGAATACCTCGATATCTGAGGGAAAGCACGGAATACGATGGGCAGCTTGGATGCAACTACGCGATTGGAACTTCGCAAATGACCTAACACTTCTA